AAGCCAGCCTCCGCGGTAACATCCAAGCATACAATCGTAATATTTTGTATTATTACAGTGTTTTTGGTGATTTTATCTGCAAAATAAGTGACCATGGGCCCCAAGAAAGCTTCTAGTGCCAACCCTGTGGTAAAAAGGGTGAGAAATATTATCGAAATACTGTGGTACCATGGTCAACTGCTGATGCTGCTGCTCCTGTAGCACTGTCAGCTGCTGCTGCTGCTGCTGCTGTAGCACCGTCAGCTGCTGCTGCTGCTGCTGTAGCACCGTCAGCTGCTGCTGCTGCTGTACCACCGTCAGCTGCTGCTGCTGCTGTAGTACCATCTGCTGCTGCTGTAGCATCGTTTGCTGCTGCTGTAGCACTGTCTGCTGCTGCTGCTGCACTGTCAGCTGCTGCTGCTGCTGTAGCACTGTCAGCTGCTGCTGCTGCTGTAGCACCATCTGCTGCTGCTGCTGTACCACCGTCAGCTGCTGCTGCTGCTGCTGTTGTAGTACCGTCTGCTGCTGCTGTAGCATTGTCTGCTGCTGCTGCACTGTCAGCTGCTGCTGCTGCTGCACTGTCTGCTGCTGCTGCACTGTCAGCTGCTGCTGCACTGTCAGCTGCTGCTGCTGCTGCACTGTCAGCTGCTGCTGCTGCTGTAGCACTGTCAGCTGCTGCTGCTGTAGCACTGTCAGCTGCTGCTGCTGCTGTACCACTGTCAGCTGCTGCTGCTGCTGCTGTACCACCGTCAGCTGCTGCTGCTGCTGTAGTACCGTCTGCTGCTGCTGCTGCTGTAGCACTGTCAGCTGCTGCTGTAGCACTGTCAGCTGCTGCTGCTGTAGCACTGTCAGCTGCTGCTGCTGTAGCACTGTCAGCTGCTGCTGCTGTAGCACTGTCAGCTGCTGCTGCTGTAGCACTGTCAGCTGCTGCTGCTGTAGCACTGTCAGCTGCTGCTGCTGCTGCTGCTGCTGCTGCTGCTGCTGCTGCTGCTGCTGCTGCTGTAGCAGCACTGTCAGCTGCTGCTGCTGCTGTAGCTCCGTTGTTGGTGTGGCTTATTGAGAATACCAAGAAACAATTAACCCCAGAGGGTTAACCACCCAGGATAACCCAAAAAAGTAAATTTTTTTTTTTCATACTTTTGGGTGTCTTGCACGGATTAATTTGATTTCCATTATTTCTTATGGGGAAAATTCATTCGCATAACGATAATTTCGCATAACAATGAGCTCTCATGAACGGATTAATATCGTTATGCGGGGTCCACTGTATCACAAAAAATTTTCCTCGGTATTCGATTGAAAACCCGGTATTTGATACGATTCGTACGAGACGTATCCACGTGTGGCCTGAACTGCCCTGTGTGTGCCAGTGTTTACAAACCAGCCAGTGTGCGCGCATCTAAGGATACATTCGGTACATTCCATATTATCCATATTATCGCTGTGTTTGGTGCTTCTTTCTGCAAAATAAGTCACCATGGGCCCCAAGAAAGCTTCTAGTGCCAACCCTTTGAGAAAAAAGTCACTAATGACTTATGAAATGAAGAAAGAGATACAGTGGACCCCCGGTTTACGATATTATTTCATTCCAGAAGTATGTTCAGGTGCCAGTACTGACCGAATTTGTTCCCATAAGGAATATTGTGAATTAGATTAGTCCATTTCAGACCCCCAAACATACACATACAAACGCACTTACATAAATACACTTACATAATTGGTCGCATTGGAGCTGATCGTAAACCGGGGGTCCACTGTAATTGCAAAGTACGAAAGTGGAGTGCGTGTGTCGGAGCTGGTTAGGTTGTGTAATAAACCCCAATCAACCATCTCTACTATAGTGATCAGGAAAATGGCAATCAAGGAAGCTGTTCTTGCAAAAGGTGCAACTGTGATTACGAAACAGCGACCGCAAGTGTTAGAAAATGTTGAGAGATTGTTATTGGTGTGGATAAATGAAAAACAGATAGCAGGAGATAGCATCTCTCAAGCGATCATTTGTGAAAAGGCTAGGCAGTTGCTTGATGATTTGGTAAAGAAATTGCCTGCAACTAGTGGTGATGTGAGTGAATTTAAGGCCAGCAAAGGTTGGCTTGAAAGATTTAAGAATCGTAGTGGCATACATAGTGTGATTAGTCATAGTGAAGCTGCCAGTTCGGACCAAAAAGCAGCTGAAAAATATGTGAAGGAATTCAAGGATTACATAGACAGTGAAGGACTGAAACCTGGACAAGTGTTTAATTGCGACGAAACAGGCCTGTTTTGGAAGAATATGCCAAGCAGGACCTACATTACTCAGGAGGAAAAGGCACTCCCAGGACATAAGCCTATGAAAGACAGGCTTACTCTGTTGATGTGTGCCAATGCTAGTGGTGATTGCAAAGTGAAGCCTTTATTGGTGTATCACTCTGAAACTCCCAGAGAGTTCAGGAAAAACAATGTCCTCAAGGCTAATTTGTGTGTGCTGTGGAGGGCAAACAGTAAGGCATGGGTCACTAGGGACTTTTTCTTTGACTGGTTACACCATGCATTTGCCCCCAATGTGAAAAATTACCTAACTGAAAAGAAATTAGACCTTAAGTGCCTCCTGGTATTAGACAATGCCCCTGGTCATCCTACAGATGTGGCAGAGTGACTTTCTGGGGACATGAGCTTCATTAAGGTCAAGTTTTTGCCTCCTAATACCACTCCTCTCCTGCAGCCCATGGACCAGCAGGTCATTTCCAACTTCAAGAAACTGTACACAAAAGCTATGTTTCAAAAATGCTTTATAGTGACCACAGAAACTCAACTGATTCTAAAAGAGTTTTGGAAGGATCACTTTAATATCCTCAATTGTATAAACCTTATAGGTAAGGCTTGGGAGGGAGTGACTAAGAGGACCTTGAACTCTGCTTGGAAAAAACTGTGGCCAGAATGTGTAGACAAAAGGGATTTTGAAGGATTTGAAGCTAACCCTGAGAATCCTATGCCAGTTGAGGAATCCATTGTGGCATTGGGGAAGTCCTTGGGGTTGGAGGTTAGCAGGGAGGATGTGGAAGAGTTGGTGGAGGAGGACAGTGAAGAACTAACCACTGATGAGCTGCTAGATCATCTTCAACAGCAAGAGGCCACACCTGAGGAAACTGCTTCGGAGGAGGGGAGAGAGAAATTGAAGAAGTTGCCTACTTCAAAGATAAAGGAAATGTGTGCAATGTGGCTTAAAGTGCAAACCTTTTTTGATGACAATCACCCTAACACAGCTATTGCAAGCCGTGCTGGTAACTATTACACTAAAAATGTTGTGAAACACTTTAGGAATGTCATAAAGGAACGGGAGGTACAGGCCACTATGGACAGATATGTTGTGCGACAGAAATCCAGTGACTCTGAAGCTGGTCCTAGTGGCATTAAAAGAAGAAGGGAAGTAACCCCAGAAAAGGACTTGCCACCTCAAGTCCTAATGGAAGGGGATTCCCCTTCTAAACACTAACTTCTCTCCCCTCCTCCCTTCCCATCAGTCATCACCAGATCTTCATTAAAGGCAAGTGTCAATTATTTTATTGTTATTGTAATTATTCTATTGCATTAAACTTAATATTTCATGTAGTAAAATTTTTTTTTTTTCATACTTTTGGGTGTCTTGCACGGATTAATTTGATTTCCATTATTTCTTATGAGGAAAATTGATTCGGTTTTCGATATTATCGGTATTCGATGAGCTCTCAGGAATGGATTAATATCGAATGCCGGGGGTCCACTGTACTTTTCTTTGTAAAACCAGTCAAAATCATCTCAATTTCTGTAATATGTCTTCCATTCTATAAAATGAGACCAGGAAAACTAGAATACAACAATAAATACCATACAAAAATGCAGTGCTAAGTCGCCGTTTTAATCCAAAAACACGGTCAACTTTTTTTTTTTTCTCATTACACACTGTGCTGCAGGATTTTTTTTATACCGGTCACCCTGACCACATAGACCCATTCTTTCATATGTAGGCCTACCAGCTTTCTCTCACTAGATATGAGGGTGCTAGAATTTAGGCGTACTAGTACGTCAAAAACCTTGACTCGTAAGCCATACTAGTACGGCCGAAACCCTGAGAGGGTTAATTACCCAGCAAAAGGCTTCAGTCAGAATAACAAATTCCCACTCCAGGCAGCATACTCCACCAGTATTCAAAAGTAAACTTATTCACCGTACAAAACATCCATACTTATTATTGCGCCTACTACATGCATAGAACACTAAACTCAGATATAAACCCTCCCCTCAAACTTCTTAACAACCTCAACAGAACACATGACCATTACACAAGGCACAGATCACTCTTTGATGTTCCCCGTGTCCATCTCACACTATGTAAAAACTCAATGCACATAAAAGGCCCAAAAATCTGGAATTCATTACCTGGGAATATATAAGAAATACTGACTGTTTATCAATTCAAGACTCTTCTTAAAAACCACTTACTCAACCACAACTAAATGAATACTGAATAACTGAATCTCATAAATGTATAACCTGAGACCCTATCAAACTGTTTTTTTAACTACATTACCTAACAGAATACTCCATTCTGTTGAATGCACAGTAACTCATCTAATGACTATATGACCTGTTATGCACTACAAATCGTTGATTTTACTCGATTTGATTCGATTATATTATACATTGTTATGCTACAAATTTGTACAACTTTAAGTTTCTTATTTGAAATACTCATTTGTACTTCATGTTGTAATTTGTTTACTGTAATTTTTACTCCTGAATATATCATTGCTTAGTTAATCTTAAGTTAATTTTAAGCCTGCCCATAATGCTCTGCATACAAGGGGCTTTTGGCATGTACACCCAATCACTATATTTCTTTGTACTACTATGTATCATGTCCAAATAAAAAATAAAAACAAAATAAAAAATGGAACTGAGGTATTACCAGTAGTTAAGTGCTGAGGTAATGTGTTATGGAGCTGAGGTATTACTGTAATGAAGTCATTATAAGTGAAGTTGTTGAACTTCACTTGTCATTGCAGGTGTGGCAATGTCAACTGGGCTCGACGACAGACCTGCAACATGTGCAATGCTCCCAAGTTTGGAGACCTGGAGGAGCGCACAGGTTACGGAGGAGGATTTAACGAGAGGGAGGGAGTGGAGTACATCCATCGTGAAGAATCCGATGACGAGTTTGATGAATTTGGACGGAAGAAGAAGAAATTTAGGAATAAAAACCAGCCTCCATATGAAACAAAGAAGGTTAGTGTTTATGTACCTGCTTATCCATCCTAGATTCATAATGTACCTGCTTATCCATCCTAGGAGGTCCATAATGTACCTGCTTATCCATACTGTCCTAGCTAGGACAGTATGGATAAGTATGAGCGAGTTTACAGTGGACCCCCGCATAACGATGGCATCACATAGCGATTTTTCCGCATACCGCTTACTTTTATCGCAAAATTTTTGCCGCGCATACCGATTAAAAACCCGCTCACCGATTTTCGTCCGAGACGCGTCCAATGTGCCCTCAGCCAGCCTCACATGTGCCGCCCGTCCCATTGTTTACCAGCCAGCCTCCGCGGTAACATCCAAGCATACACTCGGAATATTTCGTATTATTACAGTGTTTTCGGTGCTGTTTCTGGAAAATAAGTGACCATGGGCCCCAAGAAAGCTTCTAGTGCCAACCCTGTGGTAAAAAGGGTGAGAATTAGTATGGAAATTAAGAAAGATTTTGAAGGGTTTGGGGCTAACCCTGAGAAGCCTATGCCAGTTGTGGAATCCATTGTGCCTACTTCAAAGATTAAGGAAATGTGTGCACAGTGGGTTGAACTGCAAACCTTTATGGATGAAAATCACCCTGACACAGCTGTTGCAAGCCGTGCTGGTGACTATTTCAATGACAATGTTGTGGCCCATTTTAGACAAATCGTAAAGGAACGGGAGGTACAGAGCTCTATGGACAGATTTGTTGTGCGACAGAGGTCCAGTGACTCTCAAGCTGGTCCTAGTGGCATTAAAAGAAGAAGGGAAGTAACCCCGAAAAGGACTTGCTACCTCAAGTCGTAATGGAAGGGGATTCCCCTTCTAAACAGTAAGAAGATAATGCTCTCCCCTCCTCCCATCCCATCAATCATCACCAGATCTTCAATAAAAGTAAGTGTCATGTAAGTGTGCATGCCTTTTTCAGTTTGTGTGTATTAAAATTAATATTTCATGTGGTAAAAAAATTTTTTTTTCATACTTTTGGGTGTCTTGCACGGATTAATTTTATTTCCATTATTTCTTATGGGGAAAATTCATTCACATAACGATTATTTCGCATAACAATTACCCCTCTTGCACGGATTAAAATCGTTAACCGGGGGTCCACTGTATACTGTCCTAGCTAGAAAGTTACTCATGGGCGAGTACATACCTCCTCCTAGGTGGTACAGGGTTCTATTTGTCCATTTGGCGAAGGAAGAATTCTGTTCCACTTTTCCATGGAGAAAAGCAGAAATAAACAAAAACAAGAACTATTAAGAAAATATATAATAGAAGTAAACCCAGAGGAGTGTGTACGGCCTCTCCTCACTTAGCGACATACTCGTTTACTAATGACCCGGACTTATAACGGGCTGTCTGACCAGTATGAGTGCCAAAATACAATGGAATCTTGGCTTACGAGTGCCTCACCATACAAGTTTTTCAGGATATGAGCAGTCGCTCAGTTGATTTTTTGTTTCTGAATGCAAGTAAAAATTCAGGATGCGAGCTTCCCCCTCAAACAACTTACTTTTAGACCTCCAGATCGTACAAAAGTAAGAGTGAATATATATTTTTAGTTCATTGTTGTGATGTATTTTGTTGTTTGTACTGCTTATGACTATAACTGTAGCAGAAATAATAGTACAGTGGACCCCCGTATAACGATTACCTCCGAATGTGACCAATTATGTAAGTGCGTTTGTACGTGTATGTTTGGGGGTCTGAAATGGACTAATCTACTTCACAATATTTCTTATGGGAACAAATTCGGTCAGTACTGGCACCTGAACATACTTCTGGAGTGAAGAAATATCGTTAACCGGGGGTCCACTGTATTTCTTACCTTAAATTGTATGTGCTGGGGTTTGTAAATGAATGACGAACATGGAGAATATATAATAGCTAAATTTAAATCAAAAGACCTGCAAAAACCCCCTCACAGTCATAAACATCTACAGAGTACCACAGTCAAACATTTACCATTTTAGTGAGAAATTAGGAAATGTGATAACTGATGCACACATGAGCAAAGACCACTTACTGCTTACAGGAGATTTCAACGTAAATCTCCTACATAACCAGGACCCACAAGTAACCGAATTCACAAACACTATGAGTAATTGCTTGTTGCTACCAACCATATCAAAACCCACAAGAATCTCCGAGACAAGTGTCTCCTCATTAAACCACATCTGGACTATACCATATCCCCTTCAAAATCAGGCATTTTCACAGATAACACCACAGACCACTACCCTACCTTTCTCATAACCAACCTAGGTAAATTGCCCCAAGACACTACTAAAGTAAACCATACCCCGGCCGGGATTGAACCTGCGGTTAGAGAGTCTGACCGCGGGTTCAATCCCGGCCGGGGTATGGCTTGTTTGCAATCGTGTCATTACGATTTCGTGAGACACTACTAAAGTTACCTTCAGACTACATAATGAGACAGCAGTTAATAACTTTATAACAGTTATGAGTAATATTGACTGGAATAATGAGCTAGAAACATACAAATACTGATGAATGTATTAATATTTTCTACAAAAAAACCATTACCTCTGTAACAAGCATTACCCCTAAAAAACTAAACAGATCACAGCTAAGAGACTAAACAGTCCCTGGCTAACACCCAGCATCCTTAAATCCATTAACACAAAGCACCTATATGAACAACAGTATAGAATGGGTCAAATAACCAGAGACTATCCTAAACGTTACTCACGAAATCGTAATGACACGATTGCAAACAAACCATACCACGGGTGGTGTAGAAATTTACCTAGTTGGATGAATCTTATTGGAGCTAGCTGGCCCAGTGGCTAATGCGATGGTCTGGAGTTTTGAGACTCTCTGATTGCGGGTTCAAACCCCACCCGTGGTATGGTTTGTTTGCAATCGTGTCATTACGATTTTGAGAGTCATGTTGACGGCTTTGAGGGGGCTTGAGCTAGAGTTCATTCTGGCCATCCTAGCAGGAGATTAGTCTGTAAAAACTTGCATTTGTGGTCACAGTGGTGCCTATGCTAACCTTCCTATGGTGTAGAAATATACCTAGTTGGATGAATCTTATGGAAGCTAGCTGGCCCAGTGGCTAACGCGACGGTCTGGAGCTTTGAGAGAGACTGACAATGGGTTCAAACCCCACCCGTGGTATGGTTTATCTTAAACATTACTCTGATATCAATCCTTACCAGCCTGATAAGGTGGTCAATAAAACTGTATTATGAGAACAGATTACATAACATAAAAGGTGCTATGAAAAAGACCTGGAAAACCCTATCTGAAATTCTAGGAACTAAAAAGATATCTAAAAACAAAACACTCAAATTAACAAATTCAGATGAACCCCTACTCCTACCAGCTGAAACAGCAAACATTCCATGTTTTCTTCTCCACCATAGGAAAGAATCTAGTGAGCAAAATCCAAAGCTCAAATGCCTGTCCATCAGACTACCTCACGGGTACCTCCCTGAATACACTATTCCTAGCTCCAACCAACCCAACAAGTCTCGCTCATCATCAACACCCTTAAAAACAAGGCAGGAGATATAAATAACTTACCACCTTTTATGTACAAAAAAGCTTCTTAAGTACTGTCACCAATTATTGCAACACTCTTTAACAAATCTAATGACTCCTCAACCTTCCCATCAATTCTCAAAATAGTGAGGGTCACAATGATTCACAAAGGAGGCGATCAAACAGACTTGAATAACTATAGACCAATATCTAACTTACCTCTGCCCTCTGAAATCTTTGAAAAATTAATTCATAGGCAGATCTTTTCCTACCTCATCTCTCAAGATTTACTCAACCCCTCTCAGTTTGGATTCAGGATTTATAAAAGCACAAATGATGCTATTGCACACATGCTAGAACTAATATACACCACTCTCAAGAAGAAAGAAGTCCCGCTAGGAATCTTTATTGATTTACTTAAAGCTTTTGATTCAGTCAACCATGATTTGCTGTACATAAAATTAACACACTACGGTATAAAAGGGCACTCCCCCAATTACCTAGTCATACCTCAGTAACAGAAGCCAGTATGTGTACACAAATGGAGCTAACTCTTCCACACAACCAATTACGGTTGGTGTCCCACAGGGAAGTGTCCTTGGCCCTCTCCTCTTTCTCATTTACATCAATAACCTACTGAATGCATCACAACTACTCAAACCCATATTATTTGCAGATGACACAACATATGTCTTCTCTCACACAAGCCCAGTCATACTGGCCAACACTGTTAATGCTGAATTGCAGAAAATGTCTACCGGGATGATGACTAACAAGCTTACACTCAATACTGACAAAACCTATTTCATTCAGTTTGGAAACAAGAGCTACAAATGAATCACCCATCACAAGATGCACAGAGGGAAAATTCCTAGGAATCCACCTTGACAGTAGTCTTAAATTCCAGACCCATATACAACAAATTTCCAAGAAAATCTCATAGACAGTAGGCATACTATCAATGATACAGTACTGTGTTCCACAATCAGCTCTCCTTGCACTGTATCACCCACTCACCTACCCTTATCTCACTTATGGAATTTGTGCTTGGGGATCAACAACATTAAATCACCTAAGACCACTAATAACCCAGCAAAAGGCTGTAGTCAGAATGATGATAAATTTCCACTCCAGACAGCATACTCCACCAATATTCAGAGGTTTAAAACTACTCACTGTAAAGAACATCCATACTTATTCTTGTGCCTACTACATGCATAGAACACTACACTCAAACATAAACCCTTCACTCAAACTTCTCAAAAACATTAATAGGACACATGATCATAACACAAGACACAGATCACTTTTTGATGTACCCCGTGTCCTTACCACACTATGTAAGAACTCTATGCACATAAAGGGCCAAAAATTTGGAACTCATTACCAGTAAATACTAAAGTAACCCAGTCTGAACATCAATTCAAGTCTCTTCTCAAAAACCATCTCACCCTAAACTAAATATTAACCCTTTCAGGGTCCAGAGGCAGAATTTCAATGGGTGCCCCAGTGTCCCAAGAAATTTTGAA